ATTGTATTAAATGATTGCTTTTCTTTTCAGAGGAGTTCAGCTTATTTTAGCGAGCCACTGGATCATTTGGAAAATAAAATTCTGGGAAAATGACAGGTCAGAAGAAGTGATGAAGATTGTAAGGACATAAAGCACAGCAGCTCCTGTTCACAGGCAACAGGTGAGAAAAAATTCTTATATATCACATTGTTACTAAAATACTGAGTATCCTTCCCTGCCAGTTATGTAACCTCTATGCCACAAGGGCAAATTATTTTAATTATAGGATTGTTGCGTATTCAGAGAGGATAATTTCTTTGGAAAATAAAATAAACTGAAATTTAGAAGTTACAGGAAAAGAAGAAGATAAAAAAAGGTTAATTCCTTTGAGTTAGAGACCTGTAGAGCGGGAGGTGGGACGTGCAGAGAAGTTTCATCAGGTCTGGTAAGAAGCAGAAAATTCAAGTTGAATACATGTTAGGCTGAATTACCACTAGCTTCATATGATTACGTTATATTATTGAGAGAAAAGGGTCATTAGTGGCTGCAGCATGAAGGCTGTGAGCAGAGGCAGGGAACAGAACATTTCTCCTGCTGATACAGGGGTAAGAAAAGCTACCCAGCTGCAACACCAGTGACCGTATCTACCATGGGCTGGTGTTTAATTTCAAGTCCTGGGGCTTTGGAAATACTTATCCAACCCTCAGGGCGGAGAGGTTCTTCGCCTGACACATTCAGGTCGATTTGATGACAGCCACAAGAAGCCCTCCTGCATGACCTGGTGCCATGGGACAGAACCTTCTCTTGGACAGAGAAGTAAGGGCACAGTGAAGAGAAATGTACTTTTGATTTCCAGCTCTCTTCTGAGGTCTGTGAGCGACCATGACCCACACACTGATCATGGTGTTGGTGAAGTCACTGCAAACCTTTGTTTGGCTTTGGAAGGAGATCTCCAAAGGACACAAGCAGGGAAACGAGGAACAAGAGCGTCAACAGCAATTTTGGTGAAAAAGGGGAAAATGGGGGCAAAAACCTGAAGATCACCCAGAAGTAACCTGATATATAACTTCACTGCAAGTTTTAGTTTTTAGGAGGCTAAATTTGGTTATCATGGGCACTCTTACTGGTATGGGAGGGACACCTGAAGGCAGCAAGTCTGGTGGGGCTGGCCCTGTGTCCTCAGACTCCAGCAGCAACTGGTCCAACTGGTACTGCATATAAAGGAATACTAGGCTCTGTGGGGTGGGTTCATACTGGAAGGTCTGGGAGTTGCTTTATATGTCATTTCATGCAGTAAGATATTCTCATCAGACAATGATATCCTTTATAATCTCTCTCATTTTCTACCCAGAGGAAACAAGAATTGCATGGAAATTTTATCTAGATATGCTGAATGAAGATAAAAGAGTTTTGTAGATACGTAGAAATCTTTCTCCTTTAAGATGATAAATCACAGTTTTAACTAAGATAGTATTAAGCTAGTATCTTTTGGACTCGTAGTGTATTTCAAAGGCCATGCGAGCCAACAAGAATCATAGAATAGTTAGGGTTGGAAAGGACCTTAAGATCATCAAGTTCCAACACCCCTGCAGGGACAGCTCACACTAAACCATGCCACCCAAGGCTCTGTCCAACCTGGCCTTGAACACTGCCAGGGATGGAGCATTCACAACCTCCCTGGGTAACCTATTCCAGTGCCTCACCACCCTTACAGTAAAAAACTTCCTTCTTATATCCAATCTGAACTTCCCCTGTTTAAGTTTTAACCCATTACCCCTTGTGCTATCACTGCAGTCCCTAATGAAGAGTCCCTCCCCAGCATCCTTATAAGTCCCCTTCAGATACTGGAAGGCTGCTCTGATATCTCCATGCAACCTTCTCTTCTCAGGCTGAACACCCTCAACTTTCTCAGCCTATCTTAATACAGGAGATGCTCTAGTCCCCTGATCATCCTTGTGGCCCTCCTCTGGACTTGTTCCAACAGATCCATGTCCTTTTTATGTTGAGGACACCAGAACTGCACACAATACTCCAAGTGAGGTCTCCAGAGACTCTTTGTCTTATTTTTATTAAATACTTTATCACTCCAGAAAATACTTTAGATCTTGTTACAACTGAAGACAGCTTTAAAATATGATAATATAATGCACCACAATGACATAACAATTTTTACCTCTCCAGATGGCAGAGCAAGGATGCTCATAACAGACGCATCTAGGAACTGTTGCTTACTTCCAGTCACATTCAATTGTTCCCTAGATAACTCCTTTCAGAAGAAAGTTTCACATGGCACTCATTATTCAAGGAGTAGCTTTTATCTTTCCAAGTAAATGATTTTCAAATATTGGCTAATTTCCGTTAGAACAGTGTATTTTACTCACAAGAGAAAGGCAGGCTGTACTCCTGACTTTTGCAGGAGGTGGACAGTGGAACTTCTGCTCCAGCTTTTCTCTTTGACTGCCCCAGCACAAGCTCTGGAGCCTCCCTGTTGCCCAGTTCCTGTGATGCTGGAGCTCCACAGCCTTGTCAAGCCATGGGGCTGGCCCCAGTGAGGTCTGGCACCAGCCACTCACTAAGGGGGGGGATCTGTAAGGAGTTCTCCAAGCAGTGCAACAAGGGGAGCCATCATTTATAATAAATACATGAATTGATTGTGACCAATTCTCCTGCAAGGTTATATGGCCTTGGTTGACCAAAGAAAAGTATTCATAGAATTGTAGATTTTCAAGTTGGAAGGACTACAAGGATCATCTGGTCCAACCTTTCTAGGCAAAGCATGACCTAGACTAGATGTACCCAGCACCCTGTCCAGTCGAATCTTAAAAATGTCCAATTTTGGGGAATCTACCACTTCCCTGGGGAGATTATTCCAATGGCAAATTGAGATTGTTCTCATTTGGAAAAAAATTCCTCTTGTGTCCAGCTAGAATATCTCTAGGAGTAACTTGTGCCTATTACCCAATATTTTTTCCATGTAAGCATTTCATCTAAAGGGATCTAGAAAATACCAAACCACAGGAGGTGCATAAGGCACAGCCATATCATGGCCATGGTCCAGGACCTTAAAACCAGCTGCAGGGTCTGCTTGGGGTAGGGGCTGGGGGCTCTGTGCTGCTCCGCATCTCCTTGATATCACACAGTGACAGGACACAGCTGGACTCACACCTGGATCACACCCTTTGCTGCATCCCTGCATGGATGGTGAGTGGAGCATCAGCTGTAATCTTCTGGGAGTGCTTCTGACTGATGGCCTGCTCTCTCTTGCAGCCTTGACAAACATTTGAGAACTCAGACAAGCTAAAAATTAGGTATGGGAAAGCACAACAGGTCTCCAGGAAGAGCAGTTGATGTGACAGCTCTCCAGGGACAAGTTTATGGGGTGCTTCTGCAACTCACATCTGGATTTATAGATATGTGCATGCACATGTGTATACATGCATACAGACATATATATATTCCTGCAATTCTGCAATAATTCCAGAATTCCCAATGAACCAGGAAATAGTTCTGTTTAGTGAAAACATTTTATTTCAGTGCAGAAATTTTGATTATTTAAATAAAACTAGAAATATTTCACTCCAAAGAGCTGAGGTTTCAAAAGCTTTTGTTTTCAGGCACAAGTAATATTTCTTCTGTAAAACTGCTACCCTTCTTTGGATAGTGGCCTCCTCCTATATTGTAAAAGTGCCATTCCAGCTCCTTGCCTATCCCCTTGCTGGGTATCTGGGTGTGAGGAGGAGCTGAGCTGGGCCATGCATGATCACAGCATCGTCCTCCCCAGGTGCTTCGAATAACTTAGGTACCAGACCCACCACTTTATCCAAATCTAAAATGAGCTTGGTCACCTACTGGTTATTTATTTTGCTTTCAGCAAGAGCATGTCCAAATAACTGGGCAAGATAAATCTTCCTGCAATTTGGTTTGTGGGGAAAATACATCCTGATCAACAAAATAAAACAAACAAAAAAAAGTTATCCAGATTGCTAAATGCAACATCACCAGAGGCTGGCACTTCCCAGACAGGCACCAGACCCTTGAAAGAAAATCTCTGTTGAAGACTGTCCTTATTCAGCAAATGGGCAGAGATGCTCAGAGTGCCCATAGGCAGCTGCATTGGTTGTCCCCTCATCACTGTTAGCTCTCTCTTTACCTCAGCCCTATTTCAATGGAGCTCAGACAAAGCCGAGAGCTGAGCTGTAGGAACTGGAAGAAAAATGGTGTTGCCATGTTATATATTATCACAGGGATCGCCATGGAAACGGGAGGATGGGACTGACCTTGCTAGTTTGCCACTGATCCTGTGAGGGCTCAGCCTTGTTTCTCTCACTAAGCTCCTCTGGGATTGGAGATACACATCTGAAGTTAATATATTAGAGGAGTAAAAGCCATAGAATTTTGGAAATGCAAAATGTAGGATCTTTAATCTGCGCTTCAGATATACTTGCTGTGAAAGAAGCAGCTATTTTTGTGCAAATGGGTCTGTGCGATATAAAAGAGGTTTAATATTAAGTTCATTGTTAATTATACAATTCCCTAGGCTTCCTAGCACTTTTCTATAACACAGATCTCCAAATTGGAAAGGTAGCTCATTCCTTCTTTCAAATCTCCCTTCCCATCCTGGTCCCCTCAGCAGCTGTGGCCTGGAGCAGAGTCTCCTTGCTCAAGGGCTTCAGGCAGTGGCAGGGTCTCATTGTTCTGCCTACCTGTCCCAGTAACTTCCTAACTTACAGTTTTTTTTTGTTACAATGATCTGAGGATGACCCTGAAAGAGAAACTGGATGCTTGCATTGTCTCCCTTTCATATAGGTACGGAGTGTTGTTTTAATCACATTTTTAATTGTATCTCACTCCTATACGCAGAAAGCCAAATCTCCTGCATCAGTCAATGTGGTGCTTGATCAGCCTGCTAGACCCACTGCAGAAAGGCTCCCGACAGCCTGGGTCTTTGCTCCTCTGAGGGCACACTGCCCCTTACCTGAACACAGGGCTCTGATACCATTCTGCTTGTTGCAGGAGTGGCAGCAGTACCCATTCCAGGACTGTGGGAAAGAGGAGCAGCTACAGAAATGCTGAATCCGTTGGAGGTCCTGAAGAAACGTGTGCATGGATCCCATGCTCCTTGTGCTGTGGCAGCCAGGCAATAACATCCCAAGGCCAAGAGTTGTTTCAGGATTTCATCAGTACTGGGGACCTACCTGCAACACTTGCTTCTGTGCATGGAAAATACAGGCAAGAAAACATCCAAGACAACAAGAGCAGGATGGTCCTTACAAAAGCAATCTGTGAAGTAGTAAGAATAATTGATGTGCTGAAGTAATCCAAGAGTGAAATTTGCAAAGGCCAGCAATGCCAGAACCTGGGTGTTTGCTGTACTCTGGCCACCATTTCCGCAATCTATTCAGAGCCTGAGGCTCTGTTTGCCTGCGGACACTCACTGCAGTGAGCCAAGAGCTGACGCTGCATTGATCTGCCTCTAGAACAAGAGTGTCTTTCCCTTTGGGATTCTGAGTCCATTTTTATTAGTAACAATAGTGGTGTAATTTGAGACTCATGTGAAGAATGGAAAGTTAGGTAATCGCTGCTGTCTGAATAAATGACTTTGTCTCAAACATCATCTTGATTTTGTATGCCTCAGACTGCTACTTTAGATACATGTGCATGACTGGGAATGTAGGAAAACATCTACGTGGGATTTATTTTTTCTCTGCTGTTTGACCTATGTTTGCAAGCGACCTACACAGCTTTTTATACAGCTGTTTGATATAATGAAGATGCTATTTCATGTTTACACTTTAATTTGTAAGCTTCTGTCAGGTTTCATCTCCTTTCCTGCAGTATGGATCATAGGGACTGGTTTATGGGGATTTTCAAAAGAGAGAAACCTTTTTTGCATTCCTTTCTCTCAATGTTTTCTGCTATTTCTTCAGTTTTGCAATAGTTTGTCTTCTTACTGGTGTTACAAACCCAACCAATTCCACTGAGAAAATATTCAGGATGGCCTGAAAAAAATCCAACTGTTATTTAAGAGGCCAAGACAACCTTATTAGACCAACAGTCTGCCACTGCTTTAAGCCCTAATCAAGGGCTATTAATACCAAGCAGAAAAGCTTACCTACCTCAGCTTTTGTGAAGCTTTGATGTCTGTGCAGGTTCCTTTTGTTTCCCTTTTGTTACAAGCCTCATTTCTAAATGACACCGTCATTAGCATAAGCTTTACTTTGCTGGTTGCTTTGCAATAGCATGAGGAGGGAAGGACACTCCTACAGCCAGCTGAGATCATTTGGCTTTTTTCCTTGTGCAGTTTCCACGTGTGGCTGCTCCATTTTTGTGACTGGTCACTGATGGTCTCTTGTTGTACAAAACCAGTCAGGGCTGTTTTCCCCTCCACCTCTTCCTGGTGGTGATGCCAAAAAGCTGGGTACTGCTTCCAGCCCCCCTTGGCTGCTGGGGCAGCTATAAACACACACACAGTAATGTGGTGAGCAGATGGAAGGGCTGGAAGGTTCTTAAAACCAAAAACTTGGGCTTAAATGTCTTGAGAGAAGCACCCTGCAGCAGCCAGTGCTTTCCTTGCAAATTATTCTCTAATTGACTCAATTTTGATGTTACCACGTGGCAGGATGCAGTAGCACTGCATCATGTCTGCTTTTAACTTCCAATCCATGCCATCAGCATTGGATCCATCAGGCTGGATTTACAGCTGGTGTTGATAGGGGTAGAGAGGAAAGAGAGAATAGATCTGCTGATTTTAGAAAAAGAATATAAAAATCCCCCCAAATATACTTTAACAAAGAAACAGACTGTACAAAACACAGCTCAGATATGACGAACAAATTCTTCCCTGTGAGGGTGGTGAGGCCCTGTCACAGGTTGCCCAGAGAAGCTGTGGCTGCCTCATCCCTGGCAGTGTCCAAGGCCAGGTTGAATGGGTCTTGGAACAATCTGGTCTAGTAGAAGGTGTCTGTGCCTGTGGCAGTGGGGTCGGAACTGGATGGTCTTTAAGGTCGCTTCCAACCCAAACCATTCTGTGATTGTATGACTACTTTGGCTCTATTCCCACCTCTCTCAGGGAATCACAAGTGCTGCCACACATGTGCACACACAAAGGAGCTGATTTGCTCAGCAAGGGACAGAAATTTGTTTCCCTGTGCAGATAGCTCTGATGTCTTCTGCAGAATGTAAGTACAGGCATTTAGCACTAAGGGAATCATGGCTTATTGTTTATTTTGTAAGTCCTTAATGAATCCTGCCCATGGGGCCAAGTACTTCAGTGGTATTTCATTTGTGACCTCGGAAGCCCTGTCAGCTCAGTGTCACAAACCTCATCCTTCTGACACAAGCTCCTGTCACCACATTACCATTTCTAGGCATGGTTCATGCATCTCCCAGGAGGTCTCTTTGGTGTTGGACAGTGACTGAGAGAGCTGCTTCTTGCAGAAATACCTCCTTTTCTACTAAATATAAGCAAACAGCACATCCCCACTAATACAGCAGCATAATCCTGGAGGATGTGGCTCAAAACGGGTTTCACATGTGGCTTAATTAAGCCAAGAGACATTACTGAGCCATTGTCCTGGCAGCAATAAGCTGAAAAACGCACAGGTATGTTGGCTGCCAGCCATTATGAATACTGCATCTGTGATTTCTCAGGAGCTGCCCAAAGCCATGTGAGACTCAAGCTATGCACAGAAAGAAGAAAGAGCATTGCCCTTCAACATCTTTTTTTTTTTTTATTAGCGTGAAGACATGATTCCCCAGTCTTCCCGATAACAAAGCACAACCATTCACAATGGAAATATTGAATGAAAAGGTATTTGCTTCAGTTCAATGTCAATTTGCTTCAAAACTCCAACATTTTTCTTGGGCATAGAGCTCTCATGGGATTTCTGGCACTTCTCACTTCCCTTCAGGCAGAAGCAGCCCGAGAAGAGTTTTGTCACATACTCAACCCAGTGCTCTCCAGGGATGCAACCCAACAGGTTCCTCAGGTCCTCAGCTACCTCCAGCTGCTGTAGGAGGTGGCTCAAAGCAGTGGCACCCAAGGGTGAGGGTGGAACTGTCATGCAGAAACCTGGCAGCAGCAAGGAATCTGCAAAGGACAGAAATATTGTGAGGTAAAATAAATCCTGGCCAGGAGAAATCATATGGCATAGACAAGTATTTTCTAAAATAATATGTTGTGTGGGTTTCTTGGCTGTGGTATGAAGGTGTGCCTGGCTCATGTGTCTAACTTTTGCTCTAAAAAAACAGGCTGAGAGTAAGGGCTTGGTGAGGCATTAAAGAAGTTGGTCAACTTTTACTAAACAGTGAGAGGTGAAACATCTTCCAGAAGACATAGCAATTTATTTCAATTAAAAAAAAATAGATTTTCAATTTCAAAGCATTTACATTTTAAGTTTGTCAAAATGAAATACTGAAGAGTACTAACAATAAAAGACAGACCAAACTGAAATTGCTTGTTGCACTAGAAAAAAGTAAACTCAGCAGACTTATTTCAGGGTTTATTGTTATTACTCTTATTATTTTCGAGAAGCTGGAAAGTAATGAAACAAAAAAAAAAAATCAATTATTTACATCATCTTGCTGGAACTTACTTTAAACTGGAATTACCTTGAGAGTACAAAGCCTGTACATTGGGGTTTTCAGGAATGCAATAACAATGCAGCATTTTTAATCATGTTATGTTTTGGCAGAGCTGTGGGCAAGAGCCCACGCCACATACTCTCAGCCTCCAAAGGTTTGAGGAAAAAGGTCCCGTGGTTCCCTGTGCTGCCCAGCCTTGTTCATTCATTTTGTCCTAAAATACCTGGATTCATCCCCACATTTTCCTGTGTTCAGTTTTGCTGCAGCTGGTGTCCTGCCTGCCAGGGAAGGGTCACTGGAGGGTCTTAGGCTCTGCAGTGAGATCTGGGGTGGCTGTGCAGCCCAGTCAGTAGCTGCCTAGATAAATGCATTAGATCTTGGATGGGGATGCCTATGCCCATTGGAGATGGAGGTGCTCATGGCTGCTGGAAATGGAGATACTTATGGCTGTTGATGATAGAGATGCCTATGGCCATTGAAGATGGAGGTGTCTTATGGCCACTGGAGACTTCTGAGCATGCTTGAATGACAGTATGGGGCTGGCAGATAAGGTGGCACTGAACAGGTAACCACTTCTCTCTGAAGAGGCACCTAGAAGCCAGTCATGGCATTTCGCTAGAGTGTCTCAGATGGCAACTGGAACCAGTCCCAGGAGGAAGCCTTAGGTAAGGTCACACCTACAGTGACATAATTCAGTCTCCCTCTGGTTACAGCCCCTGCTGCATATAAAACAGACACAGACATTGGAGGAGTACTGCTGAATGAGATAATCCTGAAAAAAAAAATCTGTATAAAATGACCCATTTGGACAATAGGAAGGGAGCATGTTCTCAGGGAAACCTTGATGGCCTTCGACGCTCACTTTGTGTCTTTAATATTTGTGTCAGCTCAGACCAGGTCTCTGGCATGAAACTCAATACAGTTCATGCACAAAGCCTAAATCTTCTATTTTGGTGTTTGAAGAAGGTGTAAGTGAACCTCTACAGAAAGCAATTCATAACCATGAAGGTTAGTTGGGGAGAGAAAGCTGGAAGGATATTCCTAGAGGTCATATTTACTCTCTGTAAGAGGAATAAGGGCAAATCTATTCATCTGTCCAAAAGTCTCAGACCTTCTGTGAAAAGCAAGAATAATTATGTCTGAAAAGGTCAGTGCGAGAGTTTAAATCCAGCATGCCAAAGAAGAGAACAGGCTGGATGCTCTGTGACAAGGGAGAGCTGAGCACACACACGCAAGTTGCCAAACAAAATTGGATGTGTCATTTAGTTGAAATAACTTGATTTGCAAGAGCACACATACCAGTTTGGCAAGGAGGGAGCCCAGGGATGGTGGGCACGGCAGAGCAGGGGAGTGAGCAGTGGCAGGAGCACAGTTAAGGACTTGGTCCCTGCTCTGTCTCGACCAGGCACAGGGTCTTGCTCTGCAGCAGCTAAACCTGCTCTGCCTTGGAGCCAGCTGGGGACCTTCCTGTGTTTCCTTCCTTACGCAGGCTGATGAGCATACGCACCACTGGGCAACACGGGCATGTGTCAGGGGGAGGTTTTCCCTTTCTTCACAGTCTGCCCCTTCTCCTTGCCCTTTATATTCTTTTGAGGGAAGGTGGAGTAAGAAAGGTTGTACTTAAAATGCCTCTCACTTCTTATTTTACATTATTACTTTTTGCACTAGAGCTTTGAGCTGCAGCCCCTTCAGTAAATGACCCATGTTTGAGCACCTGGTTCAGCTGAACCATATAGATTTGTAGGTAAAATCCCACAGCCCAGGGTGAGGATATGACCATGCTGTCAGCAACATGGGGCAGCAGCTTCTGCTCCAATCTCCTCCCTTTTGCAGCAGAGGAAATGTCTGGTTTGCAGCTCCAGTTGGTTATGAATTTATGTGAGGCAAATGAGGGTGTGTGGTGAGACCTCTGTGGAGGTGGTTTGCAAAAGCCATCCAACATCTGTGCTCTTTGCCCTGCTAGCCTTTGCCCTCTGGAGCTGTGGCCCCCCGTCTGCTGCTCATTATCCGCTACACCCCTTCAGCACTGTGGAGACACTTGCAGCCCTTGCTCTGCAGAAGGCATTACTGACATAGGGTGCTTTGGTCTCCCCAGCCAGGACCCCACATCCATAACATCCCCCTTGTCGCTTTTGGAGGTTTTGGCTTTTTAGGCATCATTCAAAACTTCTCTTTCTCAGCATTTATTTATTTCCTTAGAGCACCACTAATTCCTTAACCTGCTCCAAGGGTTCTAGGAGGTAATGGAATAAAGTCAGTGTTTTCCTTTGCATCTTCTTTCCATGATGAGCTGCATGTCAAAGTGAGTGTGCAGGCAGGTGAGAGAAGATGGCGTGCAGCAGGCGAGAGCACAGCTCCTGCAGAAGCTGGTTGAGCAATCACTATCAGAGCTGGGCTGGTCCCAGGGCAGTGAATGCTCTGCCTAGAATGGCTGCTGGCTCTCCAGGGAATCATGAGCCCCTTGGGGCAGCCACAGTGAGATGCTGTTGCTGAAAACTGCAGGATGCCCATCTTTGGCTACAGGAATCCACTTTTAATATGGAAATTAATTAGTCTGCGACTGTGGTTGCTTAAAAATATGTGGTGAATCCGTGCCATAGTCTGGTCAGGACTGTGAGTGGCTGAGAGGAAATATCAAGGAATCAAGCTCCCAGCCCATAGTTGATGTTATTTTAACCAAGTAAGAACTCTGTTAATTTCAAAGAAAAAGATTATCAGATATCAGAGTAGTTAACTTTTAGTTAAAAGTAAAACTTTTCTTTTCTTTGTTCTTCAGGTATTTAGAGAGAACAGACCACCTTCATCCACCTTCTAGCTATCAATGGTACTTCTCTGTGAGAAGTGATAAAAGAGATGTTTCAAAAGACTGATGCCCGGGGACCCGCAGTAAGAACTGCCACAGAAGCGGATCAGAAAACAGTGCACAGGAAGGAGTTTCCCCCACTGCTAATTAAGTAGAATTTTCCATCTGACTACAAAAGATTAAAAATAAAATCACAGCTGGGGGACAAAGGGTGGGG